AATTTTATTATATATACCAAATGTAGGTACCTACTCTACTTTCATTCAAGAGGGTATAAGCAGTATAAGTGCCCAACATCTGGCCAACAGACCTTTTTCGTTACCTTCCTTTCACTGACAAAGAATGTAGAATTTAGATGCAAATAACATTATTCTGAATTTCTCATAGTTATATAAGTATGTATATAAAATAAAAAAAGTATTAAATTAAATGTATGTCGATTGTATTGACAAGTATGGATATTAAATTTGTGTGCAAAAATGCAATTATTAAATCTGAGTAACTTATTTTGCCATACAGATTTATAATTGCAATATTTACATTTTTCATTAATTTGAGGTATTAGGCGAAACGTGTTATTTATTCGTATATCTAATATAGACTATACAGACCATTACTTTTAATTATGAGGTCTGTAAGATGTAATTTGAGGTTTATCGTTGTAATTGTATTATATTTAAATTCTTTAAATAAACTTCTGTTGATCGAGACTGGCTGAATGATAATTGTCCAAGCTTCAAAAAAAATTATTTTTTGAAACTTTTAATTTAATTTTTAAATGAACCTTTGTCAAAATATACTGAGTAATTATAGTACAATTACATCAAATATTGTTCGGACAACGCAATTAGAAAAATAAAAAGTTTATTTTTATTTTTTACTACTTAAAAATTATAACTTTATCTAGACGTCATATGTGGGTTCGACATTCCGGAAATTCGACTCTTCTAGATTTAACAGAGAATCAAGTTGGTCAAAAATTTCTTTGCAGCTATCATTTTACTGATAGCAATATAAAATCAATAAACCAAAACGGTAAGAATATATTAAAACCTACAGCTATTCTTAAAAATGAGGTAACCTCTGCTATATTCGAAGCTTTGCAAAATAGAACTGATAATTCTTATTCAACAATTAACAATAAATATTTATTCAGTAATCACTCTTAATTAAATCTCAAAATTCCTATATCACTTAAAAGTGAACCATACCGTCAAAATCTAAATGATGCACACATGTCTTCGTCGTTGGATTTTTCAAATTGTGACCAAAATTTTTCTTCATTTTCTAATAACTACCCTAACTTAAGCGATAATTGTATTCAGAAAAATTCAGTCCAAATCCAATTAAATAAAAAAAATGAAGAAGTTAAAAATGCACAAGATGCATTAAAACGATTAAAAACTACATCAGAGTTAAAAATAAATAAAATTGTAAACAAATATGAGGCAAAAAGTAAATCTAAAAACAAAGTGATTAATAGGTATAAAAACCAAGTATATATGTTATATACAACTTAACTCGTAAATGAAATAAACGTACAAAAGCTTCAAACGAAGCAATAAAGTTTAAAAAATTATTTAATAAACTTGATGACGAAATAAAAGTATTTTTAGTTAGGCAAATTAACCATATTCAGAAAAGTAAATGGACTGAAAAAGATAAACAGTATGCTATATCTTTATTTTATAGATCTCCAAAAGCGTATTGCTACCTTCGAGAGAAAAAAAACATTTTAAGCTTCCATTGCGTAAGTAACATTAGAATTTGGATTAATAAGTTAGATTTAAAACCCGGTAAATGTAACACTTTGTTGACATTATTACAAATTAAATCGTCGCTAATGCACTCCAAAGAAAAGGAATGTGTTTTATCGTGGGATGAAATGAGCATAAAAAAGTGGCTAGATTATAATACTAAAAAAGATATCGTTGAGGGGTTCACATATTTGGGAGAACTAGGTCGCTCTCCAACAGAAGGTAATCACGTTTTAGTTTTCATGTTAAGAGGTAGACAAACTGATTGGAGGCAATCTATTAAGTACTATGTCGCCCATAACTGTGTACCTGGAAAAAAACTAAGCAATTTAATTCTAAATGATTTAGATTTCTCTGAAGAAGCCGGTTTTAAAGTTAAAAGTGTGGTTTGCGATATCGGCCGTAGCAGTCAAACTGCGATAAAAAATTTGGAATAACGCCAGAAAAACCATCCATTGAAAAATTTGGTCGAAATTTTTTTTTTAATTATGACCCTCCTCACGTAATTAGATGAAACTATAACGCTACTATATAGCAATTCCGAATTTAATTGATTTACAAAAATCATTCGATGAATTAAATGAAGTTATTGAAGAAAAAAATGATGGACAAATAAGCTTTAATAATAAACGTATTGATTCTGTAACTGATTTAGAGGTTTGCGCTTTTATGGATGCAGGGGATGAGATGTCAGAAAAACATGATGCAAATATTAAGAATACTATTTATTCTAATGATCCTTTAAACAAATGCTCACGGTTTTCAGATGCACAAGATTGTAATAGCGATAATGATGATTCGATAATATCTTATAAGGAAGTTGATGACTTTGTCGAAGATGAATTAGATAATACTTCTAGCTTGAATGAAGTTTTTGATTGTAAATCATTTGATACAAATTTGACCATCAATGAGGAACTTTCAGAAACGAGTTTTAAATGTTTATCAATATTTGAAAGAGTATCAAATAATGCATCTTCGATTGGCTCAACTTCTCTTTATCTCAATTCACTCAAGTACCTTGCCGGATATTTTGCATACAAATGTCTAAAAAAACTAATTGTGAAAAGTGTGAAAATTATTTTGTTCATAAAAATGTTAATTTTATTTCAATGACAGATCTTTTATTATTTTTTAAAGCTTATAAAGTTTCTCAAAATACTAACAAACTTGGTAATCTTTGCGTACCTACAGAAGTAATACATATTTCACTTGATATTTTTGATGTTAAGTTTTAAAATGTTTGTTATTTGGAAATTGTCAGTAAGTTGATTTTAAATGGTATAAAAAAAATTAAATGAAATCAATCCATCATTTTTAATCATTGACGACTCTTGTAAATCACATCGACAACGGTTATTAGAATTTTTAGTTATCAATAGGTAATGGTTATCAATAGTTATCAATAGGTAATGGTTATGAATAGGTTATGAATAGGTCATGAATAGGTAATGTAAAAAAGCAATTTCAATTTTAGAATAAAAATTTCTTAAATATTTGCTCCGTGCGTAACTCACGCGACACCTACTGCCTTCATCTGACAGTTTTGGACCCCCCAATTTTCAGGTTAAACATATGACATATGTTTGACATTGTTAAATACATGCGAAATTGACAATTATTAATAATAAATTATTAATTTTAATGGAATTTAAAAACTGGGTTTCTCACAATTCATCATAATATATCTTTTCAACCCAAACGGAAAAGAAATGGAAAAATCTAATACTGGAAAATTAAGTTTTTCACGTGAAAGACCATATAATTAAAAACAATAATAATAAAAGTTATGATATAAAAGCTAAAGTCATCAGGCAGTTAGCTTGAAGCCTTATGAAATATTATTTAAGGTAAATTATTAAAATTTTTCCTATTTCAATAGCATAAAAATGAAATTATGTGATATTTACTTTTTCATGCTAATAGCACAAATCCATCTTTTTCTTTTCTTTAATTTATATGTAATCTTTGGGAACCTATAAAAACTACACTCAATATTTTTGCTATTATTAGCACAATTAAATACGCAACATGTATTTGTACACATTTTTGATAAAATTTATGCGTAAAAAGATAGGTCCAATTAGGTCATATTTCGCCGCTAAGCACGCTGGCATCGTTTCAAGGTACCCCTACCATGGTCACGCACGGAGCGAATACATTCAGCTATAACAATTTTTAGATTATTTTCTTCAATACCTTATCTATTTGTTCAAATTTTTTTATGCTTTTATTTCACTGCTTTATATTTTAAGTTATACACAGAATGTCATTAATATTATAAATATTATTATTTTTCCTTTTAATAATATTACTAATACCTTTATTAGTTAATTATGTTTTAGTACTAGTTGTTATTTTAAAAGATTAAATAGTACCCATACAGCGTAAAAACTTTCACATAGACTATTCATTAAAAGTTACTGTTAAATATTTCAAAAATAAATCAGGAATGCTTTTTGTTCTTATTAAAAAATTATGGATGAAATGGAAGTTTCGGCGAAATGGAAAATTTCATAATTTAGTAAAAAGTTTCATTGAATACTTTTTTGAACAGGACATTTGTTCAATGAAATAATTTGAAAAATTATCTAAAAAGTTTGACGAAAAGTCCTGAAAAAATTAAATTTTTGGTTGAAAAATTTTGAAATTTTTTACAAATGTTTCGTTAATTTTTGGGCAGAAAAACAGTATAATAAAAAGTTATGTGACGGTGTTTCGTAATGTAGGATATGTGTATGAATATTTTTAATTCAAAGTTATGAAATTAAAAAAATAAATACTTTGAATATTGTAAATATCATACATTTTTAAGTTTTAAAATTAAAAATTTAACAATTTAATATATTAAAATTAAAGATTTTATTGTGAAAAAACAAAAAAAAAGACAGTTTGCAAATCAATGGCATCGAAATTTGTTTAGGCGTAGATGCAAAGTTACATAAATAGCTCGGTTCGTACTCCTTTCCCACTTCCCCCTAACTACATATTTCATTAAGCCGACGGCCACGCATCGAGCAAAAAGATAAAAGAGGGAATCTAATCGTTATGAAAAGGAGACCAAAAAAGTGGCCTCTGATGGCGGACATATCCGGAAATGCAAAGGCGCTAAATTTAAATTTTCCAACACTTATTAACAATAGCTATAAAATATTTTTCAGACGAGAAAGTTTTAATTAAATATTAACTATAATAGTCTAAAAAGTGACACAATAGGTAAAAGATTTCAATATAAATAAAATTTCATGTGACAGTTGGGACAAACAATAACATAACCTAACTAAATTTGACTTCTTAAACAAGGAAAGAGACTGTCTATCCTTGTCTAAAGTGGCCTCTCAAGATGGCACTTCCTGTCTATCAATATGTTTACCCCCACTACCTTTATATTCCCTCTTTTGTCTTATTGCTCGATGCGGCCACGGCACCACGCTTTGGGTTTATGCAGCCACCCTCTTAAGGAGTGTTTTGACGTATAAACCGTAACCAAATGGCCCATTTGAACTGCTCTTCTATAAGCGTCTATATATAAATGAAATATGAATTCTTCAAAACTTTCTTCCATATTCACTTATAGAAATTTATTCTGGAAACGAAAAAAGTATGTATAACTAATTACGTACGAAAGGAATTAAATTTAGGGAGAATTTTTAAAAATGTTTTAGGTCATATTTTGGAAAGTACAATGTTGTTACTCCAGGCAATGTTTCTCCAATGTTAACTGTTCCAGAAGAAATAGAAAAACCTAGTTATTCTATATCTGGAAAACCTGCACCTTCACCTGACTTTGCTGAAATAAAAAATGTACAGCAGATGTATAAGATGATTGATTCATGCAAATTAGCAGCAGATATTTTAACAAAAGTAGAAAAAATTATTAAGGTAAATTTGAAAATAGAAAATATTAAAAATGTACAAGGGAATACTAGATACACTTAATCCACTTAACACACTTTATTAGGACATAACCTTGGAGGGTCTTGTCAAAACAGTACCCCAGACTTTCTGCAATAAGTTGTGACATGGTTTAGAGGGAACAAACTCTTGCTCAACTCAAACAAGAGTTTGAACCCACTGAGTCTCTTAAATTCCTAGGTCTCTACATTGATCAAAATCAGACAGAACAAGTACAAAATGTCACAAATACACTAAATAGTGCATGCTTTTTTCTGATGGTCCTATAAATATACATTGGCTAGAAACTCTTTTTGTCAGTCTATTATGTGAACTCCTACTCAACACTGCGGTATGGAATAATTTTTGGGGCATGGCAGTAGACAGCTTTATTATCTTTGTAGTCCAAAACGAACTATTATGGAGATTCTGGGAAGCAGAGCCAGGGAGTTCTATTAGGGTAAATTCAAACAATTATTTAATGCTTTTCAGGTGTTTGTAGATTTGAATGCTTCATGTTTCTTTTTAAAAATTATAGTTCTCTCACTTTTTCCCCAATCATGAACATGGAATACCAATTTAAGTGTGCCATCTCACAGAAGAAGTCCCTTGTATGCATGTGTAAAATTTTGTTATAAACTTGCAATGTACTGTATACATTTGACAAGAAGCATGCTAAAAGGCATTAAAAGGAAACTATTCAAGATTAGAGTACCTGGCCTACTCATCCGTTTAAGCATTCACAAATGAGTGCCACTTTTATGTATACCTATTTATAAATGTCCGTAAATAAATAAATGCCTTAAGGTACATTGAGATCTGACACAGATCTGATCTAATGAAATCTGTGTCAGACATAAATCTTTAATAATGTAAGAATTAAAAAATCATATAAACAATTTATAATTATTTCAACTATCAGCAACTTTGTCAACCCATCTACAACAATAGATGTAAACATTTTTTAGTTGGGAAATTGAAACTGCCTCTTATTGTCTTATTCCAAAAAGCTAGATCTTACTCACTTTTGACATTTGTGTCATGATACAAGATGGGTGATAAAAAAGCTAATGTAAAACAATTAATTAATTTGTATCAATCAGTCTTATTCGATCATTCATAAAGAGAACACATATATTTACAGGTGCTTAAATAGTGATTAAGACCAGTTTTTTTGTGACTATCAATAATAAACCAATTTCGCTCCAGTTTTTGTGTTTATTTAGTGTTTGTTATTGTCGTTGTTTGTGTGTATGTAGTGGTAGTTTACAAAAATGGATGAAAACTCCCCCCTGACAAAGGGGGGACCCAAAATATGGACCAAGTGGAAGAATGCCTACAAACCAAGGAACAGGAAAAAGGAATTAAGCTGTTTAATCTACAAAAAGGATATCTCTATACGGATAAGGTATATGTATTCATTGAAAAAACAAATTAAGAAAATATTGGCAAACTACATCCTATGAAGGTAGGTCATATTTTACATAAAAAATTAGCAATCAAGAATATTCTTAGTATTGACAGAGTAGGGAAGAATAGGGTAAGAGTACAAGTTAAAAGCCCCAAAGATGCAAATAATTTAGTACAAAATGAAAATTTAAAAGAGGAACAACTAAAAGCATATATCCCAAATAATTTGCTTCAACGAAAAGGCATAATAAGAAAAGTAGATACTACTTTTAATGAACAATATCTTTTTGATAATATAATATCGAATATAACAGTAACGGAAGTCACTCAACTCAAAAGGAAAATTGACTTAAATGGAGAAAAAGTATATGTCCCCAGACAAATGGTATTACTTACTTTTGAAGGAAACATTTTACCCAGATATGTATATATAAACAGTGTTGCCTGTTTTGTAGAACCCTATGTGCATAGAGTTATACAATGCTTCAAATGCTTGCAACATGGACACATATTTCGTAATTGCAACAGTACACAAACCAGATGTATTAACTGCTGACAAGAGAAAAACGATGATCATAACTGTAGAGACCCACAAGACAGTTATTGTATACATTGTAAAAATTATGAACATAAATCCATTTCCAAACAATGTCCAAAATTTAAAGAACAAAACGACATTAAAAGACATATGGCTGAAAAAAATTTAACATTCTTAGAAGCAAAGGACAGTCTAAAAAACTCTTACACATCTGCTGTTAGTACGAGGAATAGTTTTGAAGTATTAGGTATGCTAAACAACGAAAGCTTTCCACCTCTTCCAAGTCAAACTAACATCAAACATATACCTAAACCATCCTCATCCAATACCCAAAAACAAACACAAAAAGTACCTCCAAATCAACCTGGAACTTCTTCACATTTCAAAAAAAGAAAAGCCCAATCCCCCTTACCTGAACCTATGTTTCCTTTTGAATTTGGTCCAAAAAGACCTCTTCCCTCAAATATTTTACACAGTGCCAATCCTGATCCTAATACAGATGAATTTATAAATGTATTTTTTAATGTTTTTAAAAGTGTACTCGAAGAGTTTAATTCTTTTTTAGAAAAGTTAGATAAAGCATACATTTATGATAAAATTAACAATTTTAATAAATTTAAGTAATGGCTAATAAAATAAAAAATAAAATAAAGATTTTACAATGGAATGCGCAATCGGCTGTAGCCAATAAACTGAGTTTACTTAAATGTTTAAATGAAAACATAATCGATATTGCCTTAATTTCAGAAACATGGTTTAAGCCAGATAAACAATATAATTTCAAAGGTTATAATATTATTCGTAAAGATAGAAATGATGGTTATGCAGGTGTGGCAATTCTTGTTAGAAATGTATTTTGTTTTAAAGAAATTCCAATTAAGAAAAATTTTAATGAAAATATTTTAATGTGTGGTATACAAATATTGAATAACAGTGAAATAACGCTAACATGTTTCTCTCTATACTGCCCACCTGATATAGGAACAACAACTGCCGATTGGGACGCAATTCTTAACTGTACCAAGTCAAATAGTATATTTGGAGGTGATTTCAATGCGCATCATTCAACATGGGGATCATACAAAAGTAACACCAAAGGCACGCAAATTATAACCGCTTCAGACAATACAGAGTTAGTACTTTTAAACACCGGATCACCTACAAGGTTCACAAATAACGGGAATAATTCAGTCGTGGATTTAACTTTTGCAACTCCAGATATAGCAATTAATTGTGCATGGGAAACTTTACCTGATGTACTGGGTTCAGACCATTTTCCAATTATTATAGAAATTAACAAAGGCATGGAAAGTAAAGACATCATAATACACCCAAAAACAAAATGGAATTTGAATAAAGCAGATTGGACTCTATATCAAGAAGTTGCGAATAACTATTTCTCACAACACATTAAAAATAGCAGTAACGCGGAAGATAATTATAGCTTATTAATTGAAGGGATAAATAAGGCAGCCAATGCCTCTATACCCATTTACCAACCCTTTAAACCGAACAAAAAAACTCCTCTTCCACCATGGTGGGATCAAAGCTGTGAAGAGGCTATTAAAAAAAGAAAACAAATGCTCAACACGTATAAGCAGCAAAGCACTATGGAAAATTATGTCAAATGTAAAAACGAAATTTCAAAAACAAAAAAGTTTTTAAAAATTAAAGCTAAACTACATTGGCAGCTCTGGTGCGAAAACTTAAATAGAAATACACCATTGACAAACATATGGACTCAGGCCAGAAAAATGAATAGGATATATAAGAAAGGTAATACATCGGATAATTATGAATGGCAAGAACAATTTTTAGATAAAATTACACCAGCTAATGCTATGGGTGATACCTCACACATTTTCTCAAAACAAAGACAAAATAACACCAACCATAAAATTTTTAGTCAACCAATCTGCTTAACAATTAAATTATGTCATAAAAAACAGAAAGAATACATCACCTGGATATGATGATATTAGATATCCTATGATATTCCAATTGCCAAACAATGGCAAGATGTTTCTAATCAAAATTCTAAATGATATCTGGATCAATGGGGAAAGAATAGAAGAATGGAAAAAGGCTATTGTAATACCAATACACAAACCAAACAAAGACCCCCACCTATGTGACTCATATAGACCTATTGCACTTATGCCCTGTATACTCAAGGTTTTTGAAAGAATAATAAAAAATCGATTGGAATGGTGGTTAAATACAACCGGCGCTCTGCCAACTACACAATATGGTTTTAAAAAAGGTTTTGGTACCATAGATGCGGTGACACACCTAGTTACAGACATACAAATAGGCTTAACTGAAAACGAGTATAATAGAACGATGTTTCTAGATGTGAAAGGTGCCTACGACAATGTCAACTGGTTCATCTTACGGGAAAAAATGATACAATTACAAATCCCTCAAGAAGTTGCTAACACGATATGCAAATTATATATAAACAGACAAGTAGGGCTCAGAGGACATTATAGGTGCCCAGTAAAATACCAAACTGCAAATTTAGGTCTGCCACAAGGATCAGTCCTTGCACCATTACTTTTTAATATATATATACTACTAATTTACACACCTCTATACCTAAAGCAACTATTATACAATATGCCGATGATTTTGTTGTTTATACACGTAGCAAACATCTCGACGAATGCATTAATCGTTTGAATTTAGGCACGAAACTTGTTTTAAGCTCCATAAGTGATTTAGGGCTTCAAATCTCCGCAGAAAAATCAAAAGTTATAATCTTCACCAGGCATAACATGAAACCGATGCAGAAAATTACAATAGATGGTATAGAATTTCCGGTGGATACCAATGTCAAATACTTGGGAATCACATCATATTGAACAAATAGAGACAAAATGCAATAAAGGGCTAAACTTTTTAAAATCAATTATGAGAACTTGGTGGGGTGCAGAACCTCAAACAGCTCTACTCTTCTATAAAGCTTACATAAGATCAATAATTGATTATGGTTGTACACTCTATGGAACAGCCAATAAAACAAATCTACGTAAGCTAG